AAATGTTAAGTAACACAAACTCAATTTTTTAATTAAACATATTCTTGATTAAGCAGCTTTTATTAGTAGTTTTAAGTGACACTAACTTATTTTGGAAGTTGCAGAAACATTCCTGATTCCTGAAGTACTTTTTACTAGATATTTTGTTTTCACTGTACAAATAAAAAGTCAGATTAAAATGACTAAAGCTAATTAATCAATAATTTTAAGTTTTTTTAACTTACAAAGTTCAGTTACATTCACTTGTTTTTTTCAGTTTCAACAATTTTTCATTTAAATGAATTTACCTGGTTTTACAGTGCAGCTGGCATTATCATATTTATTACCACTTACCTCAATGCTACTCTCCTCTGTGACTGCTGTGTTGAAAACTCAATACTATTAAATACTATTAGAGTTTAAGGTACAGGGTTACTGGATGCTGCTTAAATGTGTTGTAATGTGAACAACTGACTAGTTAATTAGTCCTCTGGTTGAAAGGCTACACCGACACCATCACCATTGTGAGGCAGTTTAATGTCTCACTATATTAAAGCTTTAAATCCTAGTGATTGCAAAAGACAACCACTTCCAATACTGTGACCTTATCTTCCTTGTGTATGTGTGTGTGTTTGTCCCACAGGCCTACGCTACAGATGTGTGTGTCCCTCTGTCTCGACTGCCTCAGATCATAGTGGAGACAAAGGAGGACCTGATTGAGAACAGACTTACAGGTAAGTACACGAAATAGAACAATTTTAAAGCAATCAAAAACACGTACCTGTAGCGCAATTCATCCATCTGGATTGTTTCGGTGAGAGTTGCTGAGTTTTAGAGATTTGAAGATTTGAAGATTTGGATCTTCCTTCTCTCTGATATATTGGAACCAGATGGCACTCGGCTTGTGGGGCTCAAAGCACCAAAAAAGTACATTTGGAAAACACAAGCAATGTCTCTTTGCAGAAATCATGACCTAGTTATAATCCACAGCCTATAACCACAGCTCCTAATGGTATTTGAAAGAATCCAAGCAATCAGAGCCTCTACTAATGCAGTGTCAGTTACTACTCTTGTACGCTGCGCAGCCTGAGGCGCTCTGCCCTGGGGCCGCGGAGTGCTGGAGGGTTGTCTTCGAGAAGATGGGTCATGGTGAGAGGGAATGTGGTCTTGGCAAGGCTCATGCACTGATCGTGTGTGTGGAAGTTACATACTGCAGCTTTGCTATTTTTTTAAAGTAATTTAGGGGGTCAGATATGATGCAGAGAATTTAATGTGCTGTTACAAATGTGATTATTAAGAAAATACTATGTCCCTGCACAGAAAGGTGCAGCTTAATGTAAAATGTAACTCTAGCTTATATATCTGACACAGGCATAACAACAGTGTATAAACCCAGCAGGTGAAGTGGCAGCCTTATGACTGAACGTAAAAGTAACATGACATACTGCTGTTTTCCACGATATCTACTCATTACTTGTTAGGAAAACATAATTTCAACCGGTACCTTTTTTGGTACTTTATGCTTTATACTACTTTATAAGTCAAAACTCACCTTACTACCACAGTGCTGTAATATTTCCCTGTAACCAGTATGCTATTCACACACTATTGGTTTCATAGTAAGGGTTTGGACATAATAAAAAATCTCACATAACATAATTCAGCACTGAATAATTTAATGTGAATTAAAACTCGGTAGTACAGACGTGATTCGTAATTCAAAATTGCAAATTAAATTGCATTCTGCGTGATGTTAAAAGGGGGAAAATGTGCTATTTCTTCTTTGCAAAACATAAGACCAAGCAATGGAGACAGCAGCTGCACTAACACAAAGTACAAAAGCAGCACTGATGCCTCATGAGAGAAGGGCTTATAATAAGCAAGTAAAACAGCAATGATATTGTATGTTTTTAGTTAAATGCTATCTTCTTGTACCTTCAGGTCCCATAGCTGGTCATGTGGGTGATGGTAACTTTCACTGTCTGATGGTGGTGGACCCCAGTGACCCAGAGGAGCTGCACAGGGTCCACCTGTTCACAGAGAGACTGGCCAGGTAAAGGGAATCACACCTGTCCCTTACTCACAAATCCACCACCAGACGGGACTTTTCTCCATGTGGATACCTCATGAACTAATGCTAAAAAGGGATCCTGTTCAAGAATACGCTCATGCTTACTTGACACATTTACTGTACAGTAATTTACTCAACATTCGGGAAAAGTCAAGATTTTAATGTACTGAAATCTATTTATGTTAAACTGAATCTTATCATAACAGCACTAATCTTTTAAGGATGGTTAAAGGACGTATGCTCCAAGCTTCAGTAAATGTTCTGCCCTGAAGCCAACCAGACCTTACTGCTCCCTTTTAGCAACCTTCCTTGTTATCTTCTCTGTCGTTCACTCTTCAACTCCTTTCTCTTGTCCCTAATCCTCCGCACACTTCGCCTAATCCCTTTTACTCTTCTCGCCCACCTTCAGCCAAATTCACCTCTGTGTGTCATAAATGGTGAATTCAGCTAAATCTGTTCAGTTTCTCTAAATCTGTTTTGTAAGCCTGTAAAAACCACTGGTTTACCAGGGTCAGTCGCGGATCCTAAAGGGTAATGGGTAGGTGGAAGCCACAGATACACATAACAGTAATAATGGCAAATAGATTTCTCCCCCATGGAAACTGAGAGGGGAAGACTCTGAGAGGTGGATGCTGTATTGGATTGGGGGCTGATAAATACACAGTTGTAGATTTGTATTAACATACATTAAATCTGCAGTAGGTAAATTCTATAAAAATAAATGTAACTCCTTTAACTAACTATACTTTAAGAATTCCTAATATGTCCATAGAAACATATAACTCTATCTGTAACTGTATCCACCAAATGACATCAGAGAAACATATTTTTAAGATAAAACTGCTTGATTCAGTGTTTAAGAAGAGGTTTTAGCGAAAGAAGGAAACCTACCATGAAAAGCCGAATGCAATGAAAACAACTCCTATGCTTCTTCACAACATTGTCAAATGTTGTCTTTTATTATTGTTTTCATGTGAGAGAACTCCTAGCACCAGAAATGACGTGTTTAAGTCAAAGTATTCACATTAAGATATTAATTTAAAAAATGGTTTAAATTAGGCATGAGTTTGGTGTAGTGAAGGTCAAGTTACAGATCACTCTCAATATTGTAGTATTATTAGCTTTGGTTTTAATGATTATTGTTCTATAAAAATATTGTGATATCAGTAAGATTTTTAGCAGTAAAACAATGTGGTTTGTGTTCTGTGCAGGCGAGCCCTGGCCATGGACGGGACCTGTACAGGGGAGCACGGAGTGGGTTTAGGGAAGAGAGCACTGCTGCGTGAGGAGATGGGACACATGGCTATCCAGGTCATGCAGAGTCTCAAGGATGCCCTCGACCCAAAGAACCTGATGAATCCTAGGAAAATTCTGCAGCCTAGAGAACTATAAAACGTATTTGAGTCTGAAGGAAAGTCACTAAATAGAGAGTCTCATCACAATCTGCTCACTGTTAATGGCTTAATCAGACTGAATGTCAGAATGAAATGGCTTTTTTAATGTATTGCATATAAAGTGTTTCCTGTTACCAGACAGGGATAACTCAAAAGTCAAAATAAAAACATATCAAATGGAAGAAACTTTTATTTTGAAGGGGTTGTCGTGTGTTAAAATGGAGATTGTTTTGCCAACTGACCTCATAGCCAAATACAAAGCCTATTTCTTTAAAGCAGTGGTTCCCAAACTGACCCCCCTGACTTATTATGACAATGAACCCAAACAATGAACGCAATAACTGCAGGACATTTGTGTAAAACAAGCAATTTTGAGGAATTGTGAACAGATTATTTCCTGTCGATATTACAGCAGAGATAGGTTTTCCTTATGCACTGCATACACACTTCTTTAGGCTTCTTTTTTTGTTTGACAAATTTAGTGTTTTCTTCTCTCTGACACTTGGCCATTGTTCTATGAGCTCTTTGATTGTGTGACTAAGATATAGGCCTACTACAGTGTATATTTGTAAGTTATCTTACACCCCTTAAAATTTAGAAGGCTTCATCACCCCCTGTGAAGCTTTGGCGACCCCCAGGTTGGGAACCACTGCTTTAAACAATCAGTAATTGAATCCTTTGCCAATGACTGATTTTGCGCTTTTTAAAGAAAAGTTTTGTTTTGAAAATTGATTATTGTGTTGAATCTCAATCTTTTGTTGCTTTTGTTTCTGCACATCTTGATAACTATTTGATATCCAGCACAAAATGCTAATTCTTTGGCCGATTTGTTACTTTTCCCTGATTGTAAATTGAATATCTTTGGGTGTTTGGACAGATGAAACAAACAATTTGAAGATTAAAACAATTAAAAGATTAACGGAAAATAATAATCATTAGTTGGTGCCTTGGTATATGAATGTAACGTGTGACATATAGTATTTAGAGATTTGAAAACTATGACATACTGTCGAATAACTACATGACACATACTGCATGTGACACAATCTGCATGAAAGCCCCCAGTAGCAGAGAAAAAAATAAAGAATATTTCTGGATGGTTGTGAGACATCACTGTTTTTTCTTTTGCAATACACATTTCAGAGTGATTTGGCTCTTTCTGATGGGGACACTCAAATAAACTGCTTTCACATCATGGACATTGACAGAGCAGGGCAACACAGTGTTCTGACTGTAGGTTTGTATCCTCTTTCCTGTAATACTCTGCTCCACCACAGAGTGTCAGCAGTGCATCCCCTCAGCTCACTGGGGACAGACTGTGAGACAAAGTGTGTCTTAATAATAAAATGCTCCTTTCTGCCATAGCAGGCCTGTAAATATTGTTATCACATCTTTCAGCCATTCACTGAACAGCTTCCAGCACCTGTGTTTATCAGTTTAAAGAGTTGGATGCTCTCCCTTTTTAGCGTTTTGTTGTTGCAATAGCTCCTTTCTGGGGTATCGCTGTCACATGTACAGCATGACTGATTGACAATGGCCTTTTTTGTCAGCTGTTTGCACTCAGGGCTGCAGCTACTATTGAGGGCACCAAGGACATGTCCTCATTTAAATTCCTGTGAATTTTTAAGGTTTGACATGAAGTGCAGTTTAGAGTCTAGCATTACACATGTATTGTACTTGTTTTTAAAGGCCTGTCCTGATATTTTTAGACTAATATTTAAAAATGTTGCCTGTTAATCAAAATAAAAGATAGCTATCTAATCTACACCATAATTATAAAATAAAAATCTGGCAATGTAGAAAAGGCTTTAAAACAACATTTAGACCGTAATATAGGGAGAGCAGGCTAAATAAAGTGAAATAAATACATAAAATGTGAATTTTTGTGTTTTTCTTTGTTAAATATATATGGGTGAGTATGGATGTGGATAAGTATGGAGTTTGGTTCAAAATCTACATTTTGTTCTAGTAAGTTATCCTTTATAAAGTGTTTATAAGCTGTAACTAAGAATGCTTTAAACCATTATTAATATAATAATAATAATAATAATAATAATAATAATAATAATATGTCTCCTACTTCACTGTAAAGTCCATTCTCAGTGGATGTGCACTGGTGGCTTCAAGTTTCTACAGTCCCTGACAAAAGTCTT